TACACTATTGGTATTTTAAAAAGCTGTATGCTGTAATTGTATATAACTAAGGAAAGTTTCATAATATACATATTTTGTAATACTCACTTTCATGCTTACCTTAGTTTTAAAATTACAATAAATATCTCAAAAGTATTACACTCTACACCTCCAAAACTTTCATATATTTTGAAATATATCATAATATTCTAATTTAAAACACAATTTAAATCGAACATAACACAATATTCTAATGAAAAGTATAATATCCAAAATAAACATACTACAATACACTAATTTAGAATACAATATTCAAACTAAACATATTACAATATTCTAATTTGGAATACAGTATAGAAATTGAACATATTATGATATTCTAATTTAGAATATACAGTATTTTATTTTGGAATATAATAGGTATATAGGGTAAAATAAATTATAAAGAAAGTATACAAGATAGGAAAAAAAAGAAGAGCAAAAGATTGATGATGTTTTTTGTATGAATAAATTCATGGAAGAAAATGAAGATTTTACAAATAAAGAAAAAAAAAAGAGATGTACTTAGCCAATCAGGCATTTTGAGCTGGCCACCTCATGTACGGAATACTGCTCTGTAAAGTCAGCCAGACGCGGTCTACTACAACTCAAGGAAGCCATGAGATTCAGGCCCATATAGACCAAATCACATGGGCTCGCTTCCTTGAATTGGAGTATTCGGGTCCACACTGTTGATGGCCCGAACGGGGCATTTGCATCTATACCCGTTTTTTGTGTCACGTTTTAACTTGTGTTCACTTTGCAAAAAAAATTACAAGCGTACCCGCTTTTTCGTATAACTTCAGCATACGGGGCTGAAGTAGCAAAGGCAATTACGCAAAACTTCAGCATTCCAATAGTCGGGCCTGAAGTTCAGCTCTAGAGCTGAAGCTTTTGTTTTGTAACTGGCAAACTTCAGCTCTAGAGCTGAAGTTTTTGTTTTTGTAACTGGGGAACTTCAGCTCTAGAGATGAAGCTTTTGTTCTATATTTGATTAATTTCAGCATGTTGTAGGAACCATGCCACGATTGCAAAAGTTAGTTGATCAATCCTTGGTTTACTGCACCGCTAATGATAAAATATGTTTAAATGTGGTTACTATGATCCATATAATTGGTGCAGTCTACCCATTCTTATTGTAGCTTTGAGCTGTCTTTTGCGGTCAGATGTTTTTCGCTAAGCCTTAGGCAGTTTCTGATTATAAGGCAGCTGAGCACTTATGAGTAACTTCAAGCTCCAAAACACAAGTAGTATTAAGTTTTCTTGCAGAGACAGAATCTTAAAATTTTCGGGCACGTTTAATAATTACCGAGGAAGATAGAATACAGCCAGCCACTTCTCAACTTCAAGAGGCCGATTCAAGATTTCAAGTTAGTAGATTGTAGCACCTACTACTCCTTCGTGATGATGGGTGCTTTAAAATAATGTTGAAGTCATCTTTGTAGAAGAAGAAAGAAGAAAACGAAGGAGGAGAAAGGGGGCTGAAGTTGTTTAAAAAGTGGGTACAAATTAAAAGTTTTTTTTAAAAAAATGGGTATAGGTTAAATGGGGGCGACCAAATAAAGCGCCCNCCGCTTGGGTCACAAACTCACGCCACTGACAAATTGCTTGTAATCTTATGGGATCTTTATACAAATAGCCGTTCATATTTATTGTTTATTTTTTCTAGTCATATACATAGTTTATACATTGATTATAGCAATTATACACATATAATACATAAATTATACATATATTATACCTCCACCGGCTATTTTTAGTTTAAGCAGTTGGGTGAACGGCTATTTGGGTTAATTCTTCTCAACTTATCTTGTTCTCGGTGTGGGAGAGGTTCCACAACATTTTATATTGGAAAAGTTACTGTTTGTAGCTATACTACATTGGGAAAATTGAAAATATATACTATCTTTACCATCAGTAGCTATACTTTCAGCAAATTTACCATTCGCAACTATATTTGAATTTTATAGCAAATCCATCAAACAAGAGATTAATTATTTTCAATTAAAATAAGAGAGCAACAAGCTCTTGTAGCTTAGTTGGTTCGACTATATTTCTATATTTCGTCGTGAGTGTATTCGTTGCGCGTATGAATAGAGTTGATACAAGATGTATCCTTTGTATACACCATTTATACAGTAGATACAAGTTGTATTCTTTGTATACACCCTTGTGTATAGTCGAGGTTACAGTTGATACATGTTGTATTCGTTGAGCGAATAAATACAAGCGCGAACGAATATAGTTGATACAGTTTATATTCATTGCACGAACGAATACAATTAACACATGTTATATTTGTTGCACGTTTGCATACAAGTGATACTAGCTGGTAACAATTGAACAATAGCTATAAATGGTAATTAGGCATACAATAATTATTAGGATCTAACCTATAGTGGTTTATGAAAATTATTACCAATGAAGATGAATGCATATATCGATTAAGCAAACTTCTTAATAACCAGTAACATCATCTTCATATACTTCTTATGTCCAAATTTATGTGAAGGGATCCGACGTGTCAACACACTTCAACAACAACAACAACAATAACATACCCGGTATTATACCACACCGTGAGGTCTAGGGATGGTAGTGTGTACGCAGACCTTACCCCTACCTTGTGAGGATAGAGAGGTTGTTTCCAGTAGACTCTCGGCTCAGAAAAGCATAAGCACCACATTAACGAAAATCTAGACAAGAAGAGACAGTACCAAAAAGCCATATAAAAGCAGAATAAAATAACAAGATAGTAAGGTGATCAACAATGAAAGAAAACATCGGTTAGTCATAAAAACCTACTACCAACTGAAATCGAGACTATGTGACAATACTACGGTTATGAATACTTTAGACTACCTATTCTACTACCCTAATCATCGAACTCCATGCCTTCCTATCAAGGGTCATGTCCTCGGTCAACCGAAATGCCTCTTCTTTGGCCTACCTATACCTCTTCGTAGGCCCTCCAATGTCAACCTCTCACACCTTTTCACCAGAGCGTTTGTGCTCCTCTTCCTAACATGACCAAATCACCTAAGCCACACTTTCTGCATCTTGTCCTCAGTAGGGGCCACACACACCTTGTCGCGAATAACCTCATTTATGATCCTATCTAACCTGATGTGCCCGCACATCTATATCAACATTCTCATCTCTGCTACCTCCATCTTATGGACATAAGCGATCTTGACTGGCCAACACTCAACCCCTTAAAATATTGTTGGTCTGTCCACCGCACTGTAGAGCTTATCCTTAAGTTTTGGTGGCAGCTTCTTGTCATACAAAACACTGGAAGCGAGTCTTCATTTTATCTATTCCGGCGCAATATGATGGGTGACTTCTTCATCAATCTCCTCATCCCCCTGAATAATAGACCCAAGGTACTTAAAACTCCCTCTCCTAGAGATGACCTGCGAGTCCAGCCTCACCTCCCCTTCCCCTCCTTGAGTCTCGCCACTAAACTTACACTCTAAGTATTCTGTCTTGGTCTTGCTCAACTTGAAACCTTTAGATTCCAGGGTCTGCCTCTGTACCTCTAATTGTGCGTTCACACCGTCTCGCATCTCGTTAATCAATACAATATCATCTGCAAATAGCATGCACCAGGGCGCCTCCCCTTGGATATGGCGCGTCAGTACGTCCATCACCAGAGCAAACAAAAAGGGCTAAGTGTAGAAAATGGTTCGATTCCCCACCTACCATCCTTACTCGAGTCTTAACTCCATCATACATGTCCTTAATCAACCTAACGTACGCAACTGGTACACCTCTAGCCTCCAAACATCTCCACAAAACCTCCCTCGGAACTTTATCGTACGCCTTTTCTAAGTCAATCAACACTATATGCAAGTCCTTCTTTCTCTCACTATACTGCTCCATCAATCTCCTAACAAGGTGGATAACTTCTGTAGTCGAACGCCCCTACAGAAACCCGAAGTGGTTCTCGAAAATAGACACACTCCTCCTCATCCTTAGCTCTACCACTCTCTCGCAGACTTTTATAGTATGGCTAAGCAGCTTAATACCATGATAGTTATTGCAATTTTAGATATCATCTTGTTCTTGTATACAGGAACCATCGTGCTCTACCTCCACTCTTCGAGCATCTTCCTCATTCTAAAAATGATATTAAATAACCTAGTGAGCTACTCCAAGCCTTCCTTGCTTGTGCTCTTCCAAAACTCCACCGGGATTTTATCTAGCCGGTTGCTTTTCCCCTGCTCATCGTACGCATAGCTCCCTCAACTTCATCAACTCTAATCCGCCTACAATACCCAAAGTCACAACGACTCCCGGAGAGTCCAAATCACCCAGTACAATGCTCATGTCCTCCTCCTTGTTCAAGAGACTATGGAAGAAGGTCTGACATCTGCGACTGATAAGCCCCCCATCCAACAAAACTTTACCTTCTTCGTCCTTGGTGCACTTCACTTGGTCCGAGTCATGCGCCTTCCTTTCTCGCGTCTTGGCTAACCTGAAAAACCTCTTATCCCCACCTTGGCCCTCGAGTTCCTCATACAAATGACTAAAAGTTGCAGTCTTGGCTGCCGTAACTGCTAGCTTTGCCTCTTTCTTAGCCACATTATAATGCTCCCTATTCGCCATCTTCTCATCCTCGTCTACACTTTCGACTAGCTTCAGATAGGTTACTTTCTTGATTTCAACTTTTTCTTGCACCTCTCCATTCCATTACCAGTCTCCTTGTGACCACCAGAGTAACCCATTGAGACCCATAATACCACTCTCGCAGCTTCCCTAATGCACTGCGCAGTCATGGTCCACATAGCGCTTGCGTCACCACTACTCTTTCAAGCCCCCATAATCACCAGCTTGACCCCCAACTCCTACGTTTTAGCTTCCGTCAAGGCTCCCCACTTTATCCTATGTTGTCTATACATCGCCCTCTTCCTCGTGATCTCAAGGTCCATGACCAAGAGCCTATGAAGGGTCGAGAGATTCTCACTCGGGATGACCTTTCAATCCATGTAAAGACCTCTATCGGACTTCCTGTAGAGTAAATAATCAATTTGAGTCTTGACCACCGAACTCCGGAAGGTGACCAAGTGCTCCCTCTTCTTCGGGAAACTCGAGTTTGCTATCACAAAATCAAATGCTCTAGCAAAGTCCAGCAGAGACGTTCCTCCTCTATTTCTATCTCCAAAATCAAAGCCATCATGCATGTCATCATACCCCCCAGATGCCGCTCCAATGTGGCCATTGAAATCTCTTCCTATAAAAAGCTTCTCGGTATGCGAGATACCACGCACCATCTTATTCAAATCCTCCCAGAAACTCCTCTTGACTTCCTCATCCAAGCCTGCTTGGGGTGCATACGCACTGATTATGTTCAAAGTAAAACCTCTAACAACTAGCTTAATAGTCATCAGCCTGTCATTCACCCTCCTAACCTCCACCACTAGTTCACTGAGGTCCTTATCAACCAAGATACCTACCCTGTTCCTGCCCCCTACTCTCCCAGAATACCAATGTTTTAAACTGCCCACATCATGCGCCTTATCTCCTGCCCACCTAGTCTCATGTACACAAGCTATATTAATCTTCCTTTTCTCAAGAATCTTCGCTAACTCTACAGATTTTCCAGTCAAAGTTCCTATGTTCCAAGACCGCACTCTCAGCCTAGTAGCCGCCTTAGCCCTCTTACCCCTACCTCCTGCACCCCCTCTCCCACGCTGACAACCCCGAGGACAAGACCTTACCCTACCATCGTTCACCAACGCCACTATAATCTACGAGTCACTACGCAAGCACTATCCCGAAAATAAACGACAAAAATAAAATAAATTATTGAAATATAATCTACCACTAAAGGTCGCAAAACAGGTGAAGAAATAAAATAAAGTAACTAACGGGAATTATAATCTCAACTAAAGGTCAGACAAACAGGTGAAGAAATAAAACAAAGGAACTAAACAAACTATAATATACAACTAAAGAATATAAAAATAGGTGAAAAAATACAATACAAGAGCTAAAGGGATTATAATCTACAACTAAAGGTCACAAGAAAATATGCAATAAAGATCCAAAATAAAAAGATTCAAAATATAGATGTAAACACGTAGATAACAGTATAAACAAGTAGGCAAATCTATCACTAATGGAATTAATTTGACAACACTAGGGCAAATACTAACTAAAGATTCAAGAACAAAATAGACAGGCAAGGAGGTACAATTACGCTAAAATATCAAACTATTAAAATATCAAGATAAGAGAGGAACAGTAGGACCTGGATTGCAAATGGACAAGGGGAAGCAATAATTGCGGCTTCAGGGAGAACTCGAATTGAAATCTTCCCAATTGATGTTTTGACTGAGGAATCAAGAATGAAAAGTTTCTCCTGAAATCAGCAACCGTACATAATCGGATTGATTCAACAAAGCAAATGAGACCGAAACCCGTTGTATTGAAGACGAGCGAAGAGTTCCCGGCGGCGATCACCACCACTTTACGTGGCGGAGTTTGCACTAAAAGTTCGCCGGAGTTTGGACCGAAAGTTCAAAGATTGTAATAAGAAAGCAGATATATACGCAATATTCAATCAAGATTTCTCCTAAAGACCAAGAAAGAAAATAGCACACCAGACCAAACCAGAAGAACTGGATTCCTCTTCAGTCTTCAGAACTTCAGCCATAATTTAGCGTAATTTATCGTAAATTCAGAACCTGTAACGGAAGAGAAAGGTATATCCAGTAAAGAAGATCAAACATTTTCTATCATCCGGGGATATCTTTAGTTATTTCAAAGAAAAAGGAATAATTTATATGCAGTTGAACAATTTCGTAGTAAGTATTACATAATCAAGAATACTACTCCTAGTTACCTAATAAGTGGAATAATCAAGAATAATCAAGAATATTAAAATGAATAGTTAAATGGATAGTTCACCGTTGGCTTACCTAGCGGCAACATTGGACGCCATCACGGCCTATACTGGGAATTGGGTCGTGACAATTTTCTAGGTATACACTAAAGTTCGACAGTTCAAAGATATCAAATCTATCGATTGACCGAGTATCCTACATAAGTTCACTACAGAACGCTGAAAAGAAAACCTACTTATCCATATGCAATTAATCCTTGCTTGTAAATCACACAGGTTTTTCATGCATGCATATTCAAATAGCCATTCCCCATTCATATGGGGGATTGTTGGGTTTAATTTAATAAAATAAATAGGTGTGAATGGGAAATGGGGGGAAAATAATTGGAGGGAAACGAAATATTTGAAATGTTCCTTGCTACTAAGTCACTTTGTCCCTCATCAGAAATTGAAAAGAAAATCCTTGTGCTTAAATAGAGAAGCACATATTCTAGCTCTTAGAGAGTTGAGAAGAAGTTGTGCCTCGTGTCGTCATCGCTTGGCTCGGCTACGGCTTCAAATTCGGATTCAGATTAGGTCAAATGATTTGATTGATAGATATATTTTTTGACCAAATTTATTTTCTTTTTCGTTGTTTAATTTTCTTTTCCAATGGTCATTTCTAAATTTTGAATTCACAACCAAATTACACTTAACATAAATTTGAATATTTTTGCAAAAAGACATCGTTCATGAAAATGCATTTTTGCACCTGTTGAGACCCAAATGTTTTGTCTATAAATAGAGGAGGATTAGGCTCTCACTGAAATCCAGAAAATCGGCATATACTCTCCCATCTATTCTCTGCATTTTCTGCATAGTTTTCGAAGGAAAGAAAAACTTAAGTAACCAGTGTGATATGCAGCTGTTCGTTGAAGTTTTATAATTTTCATTGTCGATATTATAGAATAGTTGTTCCATTCTATCCTGGGAGGAATTAATCCAGCAAACTTGGGCAATAGTGAGGTGATTAAATTCCTTTAGGAAACATAGTTTTCTGTTGGGCTCGAAACTTTTAATTCTCCTACTTCTATTTATGTTTTACATGTGCAGATTTATTTTCAAATACATATTTGTAACACAATCTATCATGAGTTCAAATGTTAGTTGTTTAGTGGTTCTCTCCATGATTCTTTAAAGCATTGGGCGTCTATCACGTGCTCATCTAGAATTATTGCATAACCCTACTTGGCACTATCCTTTTTCACTTGAAAATTATATGTGACACACATTCGGACAACCACCATCTCTACCTTGACAGTAAAACCACCCAAAACAACATCAACAATTCACATGCTTCACCCATAACTTCGTCGGAGAAGGAAAGATGGTCATATGAGGAAAACATGAGAGAGTGTATCCTCTTTGAAGAACTTGTTCATTTTACTATTTCTAATGTGTTAAGTGTGAAAACAAAGAAGAATGGAGAATGCAAGGTATTTTTGTATTTAAATGACGTGTGAAAAGTTACACATTAAATGGAAGGGAAGTATTTTTCAGTATTTTAAAAGGCTTTCTTGGGACTCATCTCGGGGCTCGCCTCGGGGCAGGGCATTGTCAAACTCCCCTGAGGATTACGTATGGGTCTTAGCTCTGTGAGGCTTACGATCAAACACACGATTGTTGTGATGACCCGATAGGTCATCTTATATTTTAGAACCTAATTCTACATTTTGAGGTCTCAAAAACCTTATTTTAGCCTTCCTCTATTTGTGTGCATAGTCCAGATGTTCTTCCGGAAGGCTTATATGTTAAAAACTGATAAAAATAAGAATTTTGGCCTTAGAAATTCATTTAAGTTGACTTCGGTTAATATTTTGAGCAAACAGACCCTGATCCGTATCTTGACGGTCTCGATGGATCCGTATCGTAATTTGGAACCTTAGCGTATGCCCGGAATCAAATTCGGAGGTCCCTAGCCCGAGTTATTGATTTTATTTTTTAAAATTGAAAGTTTGAAAGATTTATGATATTTAAGAATTGACTGATGTTTGGATTTATTGATATCGGGTTCGTATTTTGGTTCCGGAGCTCGGTACAGGTCCACTATAATATTTATGACGTGTCTGTCAAATTTGGTAAGAAACGTAGTTGATTTGACGTGATTCGGATGTTCGATTGTGAAAATGGAAGTTTTAAAGTTTTCTTGAAAATTACCCTTGATTTGGCCTGATTCGTAGTTCTATGCGTTATTTTGGTGTTTTGATCATAGGACCGAGTTTGTATGATGTTTTAGGATTTATGTGCATGTTTGGTTTGGAGCCCCGAGGGTTCGGGTGAGTTTCGGATAGGCTATGGGGTGAATTGGACTTAGAAAAATCTGGTGCTTTGCTGCAGCTGGTGTTTTGGTGCATTGTGCTTTGCGATCGCGAAGCCATTCTCGCGATCGCGAAGGGGATCTAGGTTGGGGGAGGATTTTTCACTACACGAACGCGAGACCATGGTCACGAATGCAGAGCTTTGGGGGGGAGGGGTTTGCTCTACGTGGACGCGACCCGTCATACGCGAACGCGTAGCTTTAGCTAAGCTGGGGAGGGGGCTTAAGGTGACTCTATGCAAACGCGAGCCCTATCTCGCGAACGCGAAGGTGAGGCAGGCTATACCTTCGCGAACGCATGGTGTCTCCCCGCGATTGCGTAAGCCACTAGGGCTCTGCTCTTCGCGAACACGTCAGTGTTCATGCGAACGTGATGGACACTGACACCGAGGATCATGGGATCAGTTCTTGCACCTTACAGAGTTCGCCTACAACAAAAGCTACCAGTCGAGCATTCAGATGGCTCCCTATGATGCATTATACGGTAGGCGGTGTCGGTTGCCAATTGGGTGGTTCAAGTCGTGGGGAGGCTCAGTTATTGGGTACAAATCTAGTACAGGATGTCATGGATAAGGTCAAGATTATTCAAGATCGAATTCGCACAATTCAGTCTAGGCAGAAGAGTTATGCTGACCGTAAAGTTCGTGATGTTGCATTCATGGTCAGGGAGAGAGTGTTGCTCCGGGTATTACCCATGAAGGGTGCCATGAGGTTCGGGAAGAAGGGAAAGTTGAGCCCTAGGTATATCAGACCTTTTGAGATTCTCGAGAGAGTGAGAGAGGTGGCTTACATGCTTGCGTTGCTTCCATGGTTATCAGCAGTTCATCCGGTGTTCCATGTGTCCATGCTCCGAAAGTATCACGGCGATCCGTCCCACGTGTTAGATTTCAGCTCTGTCCAGTTAGACAAGGATTTGACTTATGGGGAGGATCCAGTGGCTATTCTAGCCCGGCGGGTTCGACAGCTGAGGTCTAAGAGTTATCCTTCAGTTCGAGTGCAGTGGAGAGGTCAGTCCGTTGAGGCAGCTACTTGGGAGTCCGAGTCAGATATGCGGAGTAGATATCCACATCTTTTCACCAGTTCAGGTACTTTTCTATGTCCGTTCGAGGACGAACGGTTGTTTTAGAGGTGGAGAATGTGATGACCCGAAAGGTCATCTTATATTTTAGAACCTAATTCTGTGTTTTGAGGTCTCAAAAACCTTATTTTAGGCTTCCTCGATTTGCATGCGCAGTCCGGGTGTTTTTCCGGAAGGCTTATATGTTAAAACCTGATAAAAATAAGAATATTTGCCTTAGAAATTCATTTAAGTTGACTTCGGTCAACGTTTTGAGCAAACGGACCCGGATCTATGTTTTGACGATCTCGGTGCATCCGTATCGTAATTTGGGACCTGGGCGTATACCCGGAATCAAATTCGGAGGTCCTTAGCCCGAGTTATTGATTTAAGTTGAAAATTGAAAGTTTGAAAGATTTATTATATTTAAGAATCGACTGATGTTTGGATTTATTGATATCGGGTTCATATTTTGGTTCTGGAGCCCGGTACAGGTCCAGTATAATATTTATGACTTGTCTATCAAATTTGGTGAGAAACGGAGTTGATTTTACGTGATTCGGACGTTCGGTCAGACGGGATTCTTGCCATTCTTTCAAAAATTTCAAAACTAAAAGACCTAGAGGCGATTCTTCCATAAGACTTTCTTTCCAATTCGTTGGTAAGTGATTCTAACCTTCTTTCTTTCAATTACCCATTACATTTCATGAGTTTTCAACCTAAAATCTAGGTTTTTCATGGTGGAAATAGGGGTTTGGATAGAATTAGGAATTTTTGCATAATTGAAATTTAGACCTTGAATTGAGGTCGGATTTCAAAATAAATTATATAATTGGGCTCGGGGGTGAATGGGTGTATGGATTTTGGTCCGAACCTCGGGTTTTGACCAAGCAGGCACGGGTCGATTTTTGACTTTTTGGGGGAAAGTTTGGGGAATCAAAATTTATGCTTTGTAATTGATTTCTTTAGAAATATTTGATATTATTGAGTCGTTTGTGGATAAATACGAGTGGTTTGGAGGTGGATTCTAGAGGAAAAGCAGTAATTAAGCATTGAGTGGCCTTTGGAGCGAGGTAAGTATTATGTCTAACCTTGACTTTAGGGAATTAGGAACCCTCGGACTATTTGCTATGTGAAATTCATGTGAGCTACGTATATGTGAGGTGACGAGTACTTATGCGCCGCCAATTTATCTGCTTTCCCTGTTTCTCCCATTTTTCTCATATTGTCTCTTTCCCTGGCTTAATTGTTACATACTCTACTTGTGTTCCCATGCCTAATTGCTACGTGTTAGACATTGTTTCCTCCGGTTAATGATATTAGTTCTTCCATAGTTTCATTATCTCCTGTTATTTGCTTAAAGGTTTACTGGTACCTTTCTGTTGTAGATTCTGAATT